CGATACACTCGCAACGAAAAGCCCAAGATGTGCGCCGTAGGTCGAATTTTCCCCTCCCCCTCCCCTTGTATGTATAGGTAACTTGCGTTGGGTTACAAACGATGACGATGACTACGCAGGGCAGCCGCGCTGGTGATCAGAGCATCGAAACTCCTGCGTGAAAAAAAATGAAATCTCCTTCCGTCATCACCCACAAACTAATGATTTTAGATTCGGCCACATCTCATGCAAGATGAAAAAGGTTGTTTTCTAGGGCGTAATGGACATCTTTGTGATGGCGAGCTACACAATTTTTGCTGTGATACGTAAATCAGGTTTGATCAACAACTTGTTTTGGTCTAACCAAAAATATTACTTAGCGTCATGGTGTTTCTGTCAACTGTATGTAACAGTGTTTATGCGGTGTTTCGGTGCATTGTTACTCTCCTTTCAACGATATATCTCATTATGCAAAAGTGGCCATCCATATTGAGCAGGTAGACGAACTAAATGTGAGAAATTTGTTGAACGTCCTTGAAAGGTTATCATATTTTCAGGTCATCAACTCCTCTCAACGATGTATTCTTCCATTTTTCCAGTGGACAGTACCATTGGTATACTCGCTTCCAATTCTTATTCTGGCCGAAAATACTACGTTTGGGAACGTAGAGAAACTTAATATAGTAGCAGAAAAACACGTGATCACGGTTGGTACTAAGTCCTTGCTCTCTGTCACTACTTACAGCTGCTCGAACACTTTGGGTTGTTTGGCACAGAAGCGTACTGGCGAAAAAGCTTCAAGCAGGGTCAACTTCTGTTCGCACTGTACGAATGAGGGGGTCGCATTTGCGATTTACGAAAGGAACTCCGTTCGCATTGGGGTTGGGCAAGTTTAACTGCCGCTTCATGATACAGTTTACTCTAGCTCGATGGCTACTCGAAGGGGAATAGTGGACGGAGTTGGGGTGTCAACAGGTCTCAGAATCAAATCTTTTAGAAAGACGGTTAAGGGGTGATCGATCGGGGAAGAGAAGAGGGGTGTCGTTTCGGGGGAGCCTTTAAAGACTGATGGTGGTGGAGGGTAGCATTGAGACCCCTTTTAGAGGCAGGTGGGTAGCGAAATTTTTGGAAAAGTTCGAACGCAACGTTTGACCCCGGTCCCAAGTTCTTGACCCCAAACTTCGGATTTTTCACGGTACAAACTTCCTCTTCTTGATCTTCTGTCAGTTTTATCGCTAAGCCAATATCATTGCGCACTGCTGGAGTGGTACACCCTTCCATCCGCAGTGAATTTGCTAAACAGTGTTTAAAGGACCTTTGAACTGTTGGCACACTCCTGCAGAAGCTGAAGCTCAACCCTTCGATGGCAATGCGAATTTGCACCTAGCACGCTTATGGGACCACGTGCCCGATTCTCGCTAAACATTGGGCATCCTTTTAATTTTAAGAGTTTTTCTTTCACATTTTCTTCGGTGATATAGAATATTTATTTGGAGTTTTGAGCTTTCATTTTATACTAATTGAGAGGGAGCTTGAAATTTGGATGAGAACATTCAATTTAAGGGGATGGAGGGTGAAAACTCTGGAAGTTAATGTGTCCGGAAAATTTTTACACCTCAACCCTTTTTTATGTCAACGAGCTATGAGAAGGCGATAAAGCCCTCATCAGTAGTCGATCTTCAATCTTATAACGAAATACACCAATTACCATGCCGGTTAGCTGAATGTTTATTTATTTATTTATTTATTTAAAATACACTCACAAGAGTGTGCCCAGATGAGGGAAAAGGAAATATCATTGTTGAGCAGAAAAAAAAATCCATTGCAATATTTCTAGAAACTAAAAGGCTAATACCAGGCAGCAATATAAAAAGAAGCAGAAACGAAAACACAAAGTAAACAAAATTATAAATCAAAACTGACAGACCGACGGTTGCTTCAATTAGGCGATTTTGTACTCAGAGGCGCTCACAATAAGGTGAAGAAAGCGGGAGGAAACAGGCTAATAAGGAAATCCTAGGATGCTAGAATGTCACTTTCTATACATTATATTAATTAGTTCTTATAAAAATAATTCTGTAAATCATGCTAGCCGCAGATATTATGGTTTCCGCTTGTAATTTCTAATCTATCAAAAGGTTTCAAGTGTGCAATGAGGAACGTTCTATTTGTTCAGATCTAAACGGCTATTAGAGCATTGTAAACTAGAAAGTTACTCTATTTAGATTTTGTGTGATCACTTTATACGATCAATATGTCAAAAATGGCTCTTTGAGGTTTTTTGCCCAAGCAAGCTCCGAGAGCCTCGCCTTCGCTGCATTGGGTCTCCTTCAACTACTATATGTGGCTCTTTCAGGAACGGTTTTGTAAAAAAGTGAAAGAAATTTCCAGATCCCTATAAGGTTTTACTTTCTATTAAGTTTTGAAGTGTGTAGCAAACTCCAACTTAAACGTTGTATATTTATGAATTACTACACACTTTTGAGAGTGTGGTAAAGTGGTGTAGTGGCAAGTGGCATGCTTACCACGCGAGCGGTC